GAAAATGCTAAAAGGAAATTATTAATCATCAGGGAAATGCAAATTAAAACCATATGGAGATGCCACTGCATATCTATTTGGATAGTCAAAACTCCCAAATATGATAACAACAAATGATGATGATGTACAGAAATCGGAACCCTCAGCCCCTGCTAGCGGGAACGTGAAATGGTACGGGTAGTTTGGAAAACAGTCTGGCAGCTCCTCAAGAGGTTAAGCCACAGAGCAGCCACGAGACCTACAAATTCTACTCCTTGGTGTGTGCCCAAGAGAAATTTCCATCTGAAAATCTGCACATGAATGTTGATGGCAGCATCATCCATAACAGCCCCAAAGTGGAAAAAGCTCATTGTCCTCAGGGATGAAGAGATAAGTAAATGCAGTGTAGCTATACAATGCAGTATATTCGGCAGGAATGAGGAAGGAAGCAGGCCAGCAGGTGGTGTGGAGGTTAATGTGGCTGGATCCCACATGGCCAAGAGCTATAATCCATATAATCTTATAACCTTCCTAGGGCCCTAGTTCAGGACCAAAGTGCAAGACACTCCCAGCCAGACCCCTGCTAAGGTGTGGTTCCAGTTCTAGACCCAGTGGCTTGAAAAGTCATGCTAGGCATGTGCCCAAAATCCAGGGAGGAGAATGGAGAAGGGATTGCAGTGTGGCCACCCCCCTCTGTGGGAGGGATGTGGTTTCTCAATTTCCTTCTCTCTTTCTCACTCTCTCCTCTCCCAGCAAGCACACAAAAAAACTTTAAAATACACACACACACACACAAATGAAGTACTGACACATACCACAATCTTGATGAACCTTGGAAACATATTAAGTCAAAGAGGCCAATCACCAAAGTCCATATGTTTTAGGACTGATAAACATGAAATGTTCAGAAGAAGCCGATGTGGAGAGACAGAAAGCAGATAGTGTTGGCTCAGGACTGGGGAGCAGAGGAACAATATGGAGTTACTGCTGAGAGGCACCAGGTTTTCTCTTTGGAATTTGATGATGATGGTAGCACGCTGAGTCAATATACTGAAAACTCTTAGGTTGTATACTTAAAATGAGTGAATTGCATAGTATATGAGTTATATCTCAATATTGGGGGGGGGGAGAGTATCTTGTTGTAAAAACCACTTGTGTATCCCAGGAAATGCTGTATCTTTGTGATGAGAAATTGTCATTGCAGAAGTGGCAGAGAAGCAAAAATGCTTAACCAGGAAAAGGAAAATTAGATCATGAAAAGGAGAAAACAAAATAATTGCCATTTAATTGAATTCACATATTGGGTGTGTTGAGGGTCATTTCACACCAAATGCAGCGACACTAAATGATAGGCTGCATACTTCTAAATCCAGACTCTCCTGAGTTGCAAGCTACTAGTTGCAAAAATAAAGGATATAGAGGTGATATAGCAGCAGCTTTCGTGTTTTTTTTTTTTTAACTTTTTTGGAGATTGAATTTAAAAGTTCATAAATATAAGTATCTTCTGGTATATTGCATCTGAAGTTCACAAAGTAAGAATATTCGAGCAGCATCTAAAATGTACAGTTTCCTGAGGTGGATTTAGAAACCTGACTCAAATATAACAAGAGGAAGTTTAGGAGCTCAGCACAGGCAGGCACTGCCATCCACAATGCTAGCGCTGAGATCCAGGCGGAAGAATTGCAGAGTAAAGTGATGGTGGGCCATGCTACTTGTTCATGTATCTCTTTATGAGACTCTAGCAGAAATCAATGCAGTCTTTGACTAAGGCAAGTACAAAGTCTCCTAACAGGGCAACATGTTAAAAGATAACATGGAGTCTCCACTTATAAAAGATACAACACTAACACATTTTAGAAAACATTTACACATTTTTGGAAACAGAGCAATTAGAGAATTTCCTTTACTCTTTCTACCCTTTATCTTTCTAACTGAAAAGCCCTTGACATCCCCCTGCATCTTAATCAAGCATCATTTGCATGGAAAATCAGCTTACTGCTCTCTTTGAAAACAGGCAAGCCACTCACTAATTGATCCAATGTGTTAGCAGTTCTAGAGAACCTTTTTAGACAGGAACAAATGATTCCTCTTATTTTGCGGTCCAAGAAACAGTTTAAGATTTCATGCATACACACAGAGAAATATTTGAGGAATTCTTGAACATCAGCTAACAATCTGCTTGGAGCTGAAGGAACAAACCAACCATCTTCATGTCTCTACCCCCATCAAGATTTTAGACATCAAGTACAAGAGATCTTCAAAAAGTTTATTAAAAATGAGTAGTGTGAAAAAAACGATGCATGGATTCAAAACCACTCGTGCACCAAAAATAAACCGGCCCTTTAATTTCACTTTCTACAAACTTTCTTAAGCGTATGTTTAAAGATAATTTCTGTAGATGACTAAACTGTTTTTATTCCACAGTCCTTAACATCCCTGAATGTTGTAGAGCTCCCATGACTCCAAATCAGAGGTACAAACTTCATCCCCAGAAAACCATTGAGTTCAAGAAAACATACCAAATGTTTCTAAAATACTGTATCCTAACCTTTCTAGGAAGTGCCTGCTTCTCCTCTTCATTAATTAGCATTTTTCTGGCCTGCAATTCAGAGGGCTCAGGCATTTCCCCTCTCCACCTGTTTGTGTTAAGGCTGGCAAGTTTCCTTGACTGAAACCACGGTGCAGATGACTGGGCACACCAATGGTGTGCTTCACCTACAGGGGACGTGAGCTCCCAGAATGGAATCTCGTCCCCAGAGAGCAATCCTGCCAATGTAGCCGGAACTTGCTGCTCCATATCCGCAGTGCCAGTTTGTTCAAATCTGACTTTTTAAAGAAAGTATTTTTGATGGGGCGACTCCACTCAGAAAATGCACCTGTCATCTCTAACACTTCCTTTCTCCTGCTAGACGCCTCAGCCTCGGCCCAGGAACCCCTTTGAGAGAGGAGGATCCACTTCCCAGGCACTGAGATGAGAGAGGTCACCCTGCATTCTAGAAGGCTGGTCTGCTAAAACTAGTAGCTTACGTGGACAAGCCGGCATATGGCTTTTGTGGGGACGGAGAGCGGGGGTGGGGAGTGTCCCTCCATGGAAACTTTGCACACCGTTCTCCAGCTCAGTGTGGGGTGGACCATCTAGTCCTGGCAGCGTGAAGACAAAGTCTTTATACCGAAATCACCACCTCCTTTTCTCCAGAAAAAGCATCTCTAAAAGCATCTTGAACCTCCCAATCAGGCAAAGGAGAAGGCGACACTGGAAAAGTGGGTCTAACTCTGTGGCCACCGTGCTCTTTTCGGTTTGTTGTGGGTACTGCTGACCACCGCCGCCGGCCGACTTTTCCGGATGACTGCTGGCTGGGCACCGCACTTTGAATATTAGTTAAGAGGTGCGTAAACCCAGCGGGGGGGGCAACTCAATCTCCCGGGAAGAGCTGAAACCTGACTCGGAGGAGCAAGTTTTCGGCGGCGAGCTGCTGGTGCGTAACCCTACCCACCTGCTGTTCCTTCCACACCTGCATGGGGTATACCTGAGATAGCGACCCAATGCCGGCCAGGTTATCCGATCTACCGGTCCCAAACTGGTGCGGAGCCGGGCTCTAACCGAGAACATCCCTTCCGGCCCCACCTTGCAGACCCTGCTGGGAAAGGTCGGCCCTCGGCGAGCCCTATTCCGAGCGGCGCTATGCCAGCGTCTCTGGAGTGCCCCGCAACACGGTTCATCCTCTCCTCTAAGCTCCCCGAAGTGACGCGGAGAAAAGTTCACAGGTCCTGGGAAACCAGAGGGAACCCAGAGGGAACTCAGGGCACCCAGAGCCACCTTCGGCGCAGCACGGACTTCCCAGACAGGGGCTGGGAGCCTTCCCGGGGCCACCATGCCCGCGGGCCCCCTCCCCCGCGCCGCCGGCCGGGCCGCTCACCTGCGTGGGGCATGGTGATGGTCTCGTTGGTGTTGGAGCCCACGTTGAAGATAACCACGGCAGAGGCGTTCTGCAGGAACGCGTTCCGGATCTTATCCCTGTACGTGCAGTTGCCCTTGGGGATGAGGGCTATCCAGTTCTTGCCGTGGGTCGGAGCGGCGAACTTGGTGTTGGGGTCGCAGGCCAGGCGGTCGTGGGCCGAGGTGGCCATGACCACCTCCCCGCGGGCGTCCTGCTTGGGCGAGTGCTCTCCGTAGCGCCCGCACTCGGTCTTCTCGGTGTGCAGCTCCGCGCCGCCGCCGGCCGCCGCCACCCCGGGCTCGGGCGCGGACGCGGGCTCGGCGTAGGTGATGTTCACGAAGGCGGTGTACCATTCCTCCTTCTCGGCCACGGTGAAGTCCAGGCAGAGCAGATGCACGAAACAAAAGGAAAGCAGCCATGTTGAGAGAGCCAGGCTGCGGCACGCTTGGATCAGAGACATTGCCATCTTTATCCGCCGGGGCCCCCTCCCCGCCCCGCGTGCCCGCCCCCCGC